TTAGCTTACCAAGTTTATGAGCTAAAAATTCAGAAGTAACATTTCCAATGGATAATATTAAAACACACTCCAATGACACTTTTGTAAAACACAATTATGTCATTTTTCTTAATATTCAATGAGTATATCTCTGATAAAACTTTGTTGATACTTTCTGAATTTAGTATGAAGTATGATTAATTCAAGGCTACAAGTTTACACTTTCCCACAAATTATATGAAGATCTTGACAACCCTGTGATACCAGAAGGGTGAATATTACTACCCCTGTTTTACAGATGAGCTATATGAATTTTGAGAGCAACTTACTCAAGGTTAATAGCTATTACATGACTTGGGAGAGAACCAGGTATTCCAACTCTTCATCAGAGTTTCTATATAAAATGAGCATCCACAGTACTTTCTGGCATAACAGTAATAGAGTACATGGGAATATGTTTATTAGAAGACAACAATGAAAAAAAAAAGGGGGAGGGATCAATTCAAACTTTGGAGAATTCTTTCAATCCATGGACTATCCACCATTCCTCCAAAAAGAGCTTCTAAATTTCAAGGCAAGCAACTGCATAGACCCTAAAATAAAAGACTTTTATCTAGTTAATTAATTTTAGACCAAACTTAGCTTTTTTAAAAAAAGCATTCCATTTACTTGCTATTTAGGATCTTGGTCTACAAAGATTATATATCCTACACTTAAATGATCACAATGGGAAGATAAACCACTTCAGAGGATTTATCTGAATAAATGCCCCAAAATGCAGACATTAGATGTCTAGTGGTTTACCCACCTCAAGTTTCTTTAAAAATTGCTAGAGAGGCTCCAAAGTCAATTAATATTAAGAAGTAAACAAAATAAATAGCCCCAGACCTTAGAATAGACTTCTGTATGAGAAGGACATTACATCCGGTTTTCTTAATTTGCTTCACTAAGTTTAGAATGTAGGCTCTCTCCTCTCGCAGTACTCGGTCCATCTGGACATAGTCAGAAACTACTATTTGATTATCCATCTGTTAAAAAAAATTAATAATTTGCATTGGAGGACTTTTTCATGAAAATATTACAGTATATTCAATCAAAATCATACTAAGAAATTATATATAGACATACATAGTCTCAAAAGATGACTATACACCAACCTTAACTCAGCATTTACTATGATTTATACACCTTGCTGTCGTGTGTATTTTTGC